GAGCAACTGTTGAGTTTCTTGCCGGTCTCTTCTCAACAGAAACCGCTTTCCGAACCGGTGGTACCTTACGAACCTATACACATAATCTTTGATGTAAAATTTGACGATTCATAAGAGCGCGCAAGCGTCTATTTGAATAAATATATTTGTGATTTAGATTTTGATTTTGAGCATAGTTCCATATTACGAAAATAGCGTGGTAACGACGACGTATACGACCTAAAATCATATTTTTCTGCAACCACTTTAATCTTAACTTTGACGGCTTCGAGGCAAAGTTAAATGGATTATGCATCAAACTTTACTTCAATATAATAACACTTTATGTTCGCAAACAAAGGACCGCCACTAACTTTGATGTGCGACGACATTTACTTTACTACTTCGAGAGCTATAAGAGTCGACGTTATTGTCAACTTGAAACAAACTTGTAATAAGTTAGCGTCTTGCTAAAAACTTATGGCGTCTCAAAGTAAGCGTATATTACAAACAAAGTTTTTGTGTAAAAAATCATGAAAAAAATGTCAAGAAAACAGATATCAGAATCATCAGCATTTATCAGACGGTTTATGTTAATTTTACCCGGACGGGCCTGCCCATTCGTGCAACAGCCGAGGCTGCTGCGTGGCCCTACCACCGTAAGTTAGTAGTTTTTTTTATCACTATGTCTCTTACACTCTATTTTGTACCTTTTTATTTATAGAAAGTTTCTAATTAAAATTGAATCGGTAAAAAGGCTAATAGATTGATTGATTTGTCAGTTGACTGGCGGATAATAAAGTTAATTAGCCCGTAATCAATATCCGTTTCCAACATATGCAACGGATTTCTTATGTGAAACTTTGACAGGGGAGCGGGCGGTTCAGCCGATTTTAAGTAATTACCGCCGCTTATGGACGGATGCGTTGACGCTTATTGCGGATGCGTTACTAACCTTTCAAAAAGTGGGTCCCGGTTATCAAAAAGTGGGTCCCGGTTACCTCACTCACCAGACGAAACGCGAAAGTATAGTGCTTCCACTTCACGTCGGTCTCTGTGCGGCCACAGTATATACCCGTACGAGCTTATACAACTCTCCGTGCCCGTAAATCAACTGACTGCTGACAAGTTTGTACTGTTTTATTGTATCTTACCATAACTGAAAAACATTTCAAAATCAAAAATATATTTATTTAAATACGACGCTTGCGCGCTCTTATGAATCGTCGAATTTTACATCAAAAACTATGAATATAGGTTCGTAAGGTACCACCGGTTCGGAAAGCAGTTTCTGTTGAGAAGAGACCGGCAAGAAACTCTACAGTTGCTCTTTTTCAAAAATATCAGTTTACAATATAAAAACCCAGAGTGTGAGAGAGAGGTCACAGACTGAGAGAGATAAAGCACGTTTTTTCATCTGGGTTTGTTTATGAAAATGGATACTTCGTTATTATATACGTCGCATTCAGGCTTAGTAAAGTTACTTCAGTTTAAAAAAAGCATGTCATCAAAGTACAAGAAAGAAGAAGATATATAGTTTCATTGTATGTAGCGGTGTGAAGGAACCCTTAAATAGAAAACTTTCAGCATATCTAAGAGATTTAACAGCGTCCTACTTACCCAATTACTATGCATCAAAATCAACTAATGCAATCAAAGAAACAACAAAAGCTATAAACCTTGTAAGCATTTTATTACTTCCGTAGCTTGATAGACAAAGCTTCCTGTTCATAACAAACATAAACTATAATATTCCGAGAAAAAAAACCTGGGAAGTACAAAAAAAAAACATAATAATTTTTCGTACCAAGTTCTCAAGGCAAAGAATGCATCGATGCCGTATTGTTTATGATGAACAGACACTTGCATTTAGCAGAATCGTTTTAATAGATGCCATCAATCGAAGAAGACACATATCATTTGGAGCATTTTTGCAAATGATCCCTTGATAAACTTGATAACTATTCTTTTTTAATTCGAAACTGACGAACGCTTGACTGCCATCGCAACTGATGGTAATTGGCGTTGCATTTGTTGATGATAAGCGCAGATGATAAGGGTAAACTGGTAGGGCTACGCAACAGCCTCAACTGTTGCACGAATGGGCAGGCTCGTCCGGTTAATTACCACAAACTCACAGAAGACCGGCGTAAAATGGAAGTATAATACTTTCGCGTTTCGTCTGGTGATTGAGGTGGCCGGAGCTCAATTTTCAAAAGGTTGTCAAGGCATCTGGAACCTTCGGGTGTAGCAGATGTCCATGGGCGGCAGTATTCACTTAACATCACGTGAACCGTCTGCTCGCTTGGCAACTTTTCACATAAAAAACAAATCTACTTATTCTCGCCTTGACGCCTACCTTATGATCGGACATCGGATATGGTTACAATATCTCATCAAGTGATCTCATGATCATCCTGAGCGACTTCACTAGTGCCCGCGGCTCACCAAATATGTTCTAATCAATAGATAAGTCCTTCGATTAAAGACGTTGTAAAAATCGTCAACAACATGTTATGAATTCTGGGTCCACAACGCTCAGAATTGCAAAAAGCTGACTGTAGTTTAACTGCGACCCTACAATCGATCATTACAGAGGGTTATCATGTCGTATTTTACTGTTTATCAGTATTTAACAGAATAATATGCACTATAAGTGATACAATCGGCATCGCATTCAATGAGTCCTACATATTATTGTGGTAGAGCAATAAAGGCTTCCAAAACATCTGCTGCACGAATAAGCCTGCTTCTTCTAATGAGAGAAGTTGGTAAGCGAGCAGGCTGTTCACCTGATGTTAATTTATACAACTGCCCATAGACATCTACAACTCTTTTGGGTGTATGTGTTACCCACTTCCTAAGAATTTGGTCCCGATTACCTCACTCACCAGACAAAACGCAGAAATGTACTTCTAGTTTACGCCGGTGTTCTGTGAGGTCGTAGTACTAACCCAGACGGACCTGCCCATTCGTGCAACAGTGAACACTGTTGCATGGCCCTACCACCGATGGTGTATTATTCGAAACTTTGGGAAAATTAAAACAAAATAACGTCGATAACGTAATTTAATTATTCTCAAGAGTGTGCGTTTTATGCTTTAAACAACTCGTCATAATTTTGTTCATCAAAACTATTAATTTAATTATAATACTAGTATTCTAATAATAGTCGGAGGATACTTATTTGACGTTGGCTTAGCATTGTATTGACATAGTGCATTAATCGCGTTATGAGCCTAGTGATGCCATCTGTTGACTTATTTTGTAATTTAGTAAAAACTAAAACATTAACACGTAATAACGTTAACTGATAATTTAAAATTTTATCATTATCATTGACTTTAATTGAGTCGAATATAAAAAGGTATATAATTTTTTTTAACAAAGCGGAGGAGTAAATGAAAAGCTTTAATAGTAATTTTATTAAAATCTTATTTAAAATTCACGGAAAAGCGTAAGATTAGAGACACGTGTTCATTTTCGATAAGTTTATGTTTGAACTTGCCAAAATTATATTATCATGAAACTATATGAAAAACCAGTAGAACACCTTAACTCTCCTACACTTCTTTCTTACAAAAAAAGAATTTTGCATGTGTACCTACGATATATAACAGTGCAATTGCAAAAAGAAATGTTAGTATTGATCTACTTTACAATTGAAATCTATCAAGCCAACGTGAACGCGTTTCAAGTAGGTACGTTCTAACAGTATACTTAAACCGTAGTTCTTGATAAACCAACATGCCGTGTGTCTAAAAAAAGATTTAATTTAAATTTAATTCCATATTGTTTCATGTGAAATAATCGCAATGAATATGAGGAACGATATAAAAATACCACGGGTAACGCGGAATGCGGATTGCAACGCAAACTTTTCATTAGAAAGAGACACAAAATAACGTTGTAACATTCATTTGACCTCTAACACGACACGTCGGAATTGCCAACTGATGTCTACACGTCACACAGTTATATAATAATAAATAGATAACACTTTATAACACGCTTTACATAAGCTCTATGTCAATAAGAGTCTTAGATCGCACTTTAAAAAAAGAAACTTGAATAAATGTGTCTTCTACGCGAACATAATTGAACTTAATCGATCGAAATGGACTATTTATTGTATGTAAACCCCAAGCCTTTCACTCTATTTCCTATCAGTCCTAAACAAATACAGACAAAAGCTTTGCGTTGCCCATCTAATGTCCTTTAGATATGAAAGTAAATATAATATGAAACGGAAATCCTTCGTTCTGTATGATAAATATCAATAACTACAAACCTGAAGTACCAACTTCAATAATTACAAGTGTTATTATCTATATTTAAAATTTTCATTTGCTAATACTTTCAATATAACCCTTAAGATCGATGCGCATAAATGCGGTGGCGTGGAGCACTCTACACGTGTAAGTCAAATCGTGAGTCAGAGCGAAGCAGTATATTGTTCACTCGACCAGCCTTTCATACGAGCTAAAAATAGAAGCAGCCTTAATGCAACGGTGCATGACGCGATGCAGATTTAGAGGGAGCGTGATCGCGTTTAGGATGCCTTTTTTGATAATTGCCAGAGATGCTATTATAATTTGCCTAATGCATCCGAAATATCTATGGCAAGGATAACATATTCCCTAATTTGGCATATAAATCTCTAACCGCGAATAAATTCGTGCAAACAATTATTAGGTACGCTATGTAAGCACTCGGGCCAGATAATGTAAAGAATCTGTTGAGTATAACATGAAGACCTTTACGAGTTAAATATTATACATCATTGATTGATGTAACAGTTTCAGTCGCAATGTTAATCGACAGCGATTTCGTGTGAATTCAATTTGACAGATAATAGAATCAGAATTGAGTTTCATTTGGTTTCGTTTCGTAAAAATAAATCGACCTAAAATTAGACATTGAAAGCGATGAGCCGCGTGCATGTAACCTAAACGAGAATTGCAAAATTAAAAACGCAGTGCGCGTCCGCTGCCCGCGCTTGCGATGACATATAAAACAAAATGGCGGACTCGGGTGGCCGCGCCGCGCCGCCCAACTCGCGCGCCGTTTATCGGCCGCCATCGGGCCGCATCGACTTGGCAACGCCGGCCGCATTCCTGGCGGCGCGGCAACGTCGCAACTGTCTCGCGCCACCTTTGCGTCGTACGCGATAAAGCGTTGCGGAGTGCATGTGGAAATGTCTGGTTTTCGAGTCGAGCTGGAGTTGAAGCGGCGTGAAAACCGATTGATTTTAACGATTGATCGTTCGATCGAATCGGCCCTCGCTGAATAAGCTATTGTGAGCGCACATAGCCTACTAAGCCATCTTAATACACAACTATGGATTTGGATTGCGTTATAGGGACAAAGAGTGTACAAGTGTACATTCAAGTGAGAGATACGAGGAATTTTGTTCACGAGCCATCTAAACTCGTTAATGTGTGCGCCGTTTATGCTCTAAAAGCTATTTTGTAGACTATTAAGAATAAAGTTAGCAATGGAAAATATTGTGAATTAGACAAAGGTACAACATGCAAGGTAAATGAAAATGTTAGATCAAAAAATTTACATTGTCACAAGAGATAACAAAAAATCATTTATAAGCATCTCGCTCTATCTATAGGTGTGTTATACAAAATAGCATTTGTACGATATAATAAAGATACATGTTTAATGTTTAATGAAAGGAAATGTAATAAAATAAATATGACACCATTTTTATAAATAAATTCCTCTAAATAGACCGAATGATTTAATAAAACAGTAGATAAAACTTCTTACATACAAATGTCTTTAGGAGGATTTTAGATTATATTCAGATTATTTCCTTAAACAACTTAATACTTTGTAAAGTGAACATTTCTTTGACTTCCCGTTAGTGTTTTTTACTTAAGCGAAATAGCTTGGGAATCAAATTTACTGTTGTTTATGGATAACCTTCTTGCCATGTACGAGTTATACACGCAATGGGATGATTGACATCACGCCATTTCCTTTATTATTTTATCAGTGTTGCACGAATTTATAAGAAATGTATCTATTTAGGGCAAATACATTTTTGTTTCTAATTTATTTTATCATTCGTGTCAATTAAGCAAAATATGATATTGCTTTTGTAAATTTAACGAAGTAAGCAAGGGGAGAGAATTTTTAAAGCAACAAAACTTATGCTCATCATAATCTGAGGCACTAAAGGCGCGGGTGGCTTGTTCAAGCAAAACCCATGCTAATAAAACAAAATATCGGGTACAGCCACACCTTACGTCGTGGCATGAGCAAGTTAAAGAAGATGATTACTGAGGATTGATTATTATAGTCTCGATGTCAATGACATTAACGAGCTTAATAAAAAAAAACTTCAAAGTAAACTTAGCTTAAACCTCTCATTTGGCACCAGCAAAGTGCAACTCTAATTTGACAGAGCAAATCTGAACAACATGATGGATTGAAGCAATTCGTCTGATTCGGGAAATTTTGCGATTTCATTCACGACGTAAATGTCCGGACGGATGTGACGGAGACATACGCGGGGCCATCGGAAAAGGGACGCCTTTCTTCCCCAATACGAAAGTATATCTTTTATATTATGATTTAAACAGTCAAATAAGATGACACACAATTCACGCCACGTGCATCCCAAAACATTGTGCCTACGATTTTGTTCGCCGAAGACACCTTCGTGTCCTTTAGCGTGGATTCACTGTTGAAGTCACTGTTCGGACTGTTCTTTGCCTCTGTGATGAATTTATGATTATTCCAATTCATTCCGATTATGTTTTAGCACCGTCAAACATGCTTTTGAAGTTGATGCACTGTTTTCTTGTCGTGACCACAGTTAACTCGGTTACTGCTGTGTTGTGCAACAAATATTGCGCAAAGCTTTTTCATGCACTAAAAATTTAAACCAAAAGAAGCCTACAATCGCAGCCATCTCTGGCAATCGCACTGGTGTCGTGAATTATTTTCAAAGAATTTCTGAAGTGATAGTGTCATTTTGACGATCCTTTCATAAGATTTCTGGTAACCAAATGTGTATAGGTAAAATTAAGCTGAGCCCCGCCTATCATTTATTTTTTCATTTTATATGACAGTTAATATTACAGAATATTTGCCAAAGCCAAAACCTTACGCTAAATATATTTTTACTAGCAGCGCCATCTCCTGCCTATATTAAGTATTTTACCTGAAACACACTTTATCACACATGTTACAGTCCCGAAAAAAAAAAACACTTAGTTTTCTGCCGACTGTCTTGAGAAGAAATGGTGAGAGACTCGTGGAAATATATATTTTACGATGAAACCGATTACAAACAACACTTAACCATACTTTAAAATATGGATATAATGTTCAATTGATAATTATTTCTTGAATGCGTAATTGAATAAAGATTTCTACCGGACCTGCTGCACTTTGGAGACCTTCAACTTGTGGACGGAGTCCCGCTTTTTGTGTTGCCCTCACTCATAAAAGAGGCTTTCGTAAGCTTTTGTTCCCACTTTGCATGATTTTTTCGGGATATCAGAGTGAGTTTCGTTATTAATGAACTTTTGGAAAAGCCGTCTAAGTAACGGAGTCGAACATAAATAAATAGCCCTCCGCCCATAGTGACCATTGGCTTAAAGAGGAACCTGGATTTAAAAAATTTTGACGCTATAAGTGTCAATCATAACGGTAGATTTAACATCGTCTATTAAATAATTTATGCCCAATCTTAAAACTTACAGCAATGCTTTGAATTCCCCAAAATTCAATGTTACAAGACGTTGAAAGAAAACGTCGTAAAGGTACTTTCAAGTAAAAATAGTATTTAAAGGATATAAAAACTTGCACAAACATAAAATTATAGCGACAATGAGAAAAGTATAGTTACTCATCCAACACTAACAAAGCTATTGATATATTTAAACGCATACTTTAGATATTGATATATAACCGGGCAGCATGAACATGAGACATGTCACAAGTATTATCTTATCTTAATGTCAGCATTATCTAATTGTGAACGTAGTTAATAACACGCTTGTTAGTTGCTCCTGCCACGTAATTACTTTATTATCAACATCGATTAGTTCCATCACTAAGCTTCGGATGTTAAGGGAGCCTCCCCTTGTATTTATTAATATCTTTACTTTTAGAAAGTGGATTACAGATGAGCTTAAGACCAAGCTCTTGGTTTTCCATCAGTATAATAGGAGACGTGCCTATTGCGACGTGTATTAAAAAAAAAGTCCTGGATAAATTTCTAAAAAATGAACCCACTTGGTACCGAGTCCGTTCGGGTTTAGAAGAGTGAAGCTTTAATAGTCTCTGGACTGAAAGCACAAACATCAGTTAATACAAGGTTTATATGTACGATCATTTTAGTCCCTTTAGGCTCTCAGGGTGTTTAATTACATCTAAAAATGGTAAAAACGAATGGAAATGTAAATCATTCTTGGATATAGGAGAGTACGAACTAAACGCGGTAGCCGTATTCCATAAACGCACACAATCATGTTAATTACATAATTTACATTCATACTACTATCGAACATCCGTCGTGGACCGATCGGTAATTTAGATTTTTTTTTATTTCCTGCCTTTATTGCTATAACTAACTACTAACTTATTTTCCTTATTTTTGCACAATATATTAAATATAATTTAAACCGATATTTTAGTATCCTCATGATTTAAGACTTGAAGAGACAGTCTTACGCCCGGTTTCTGAAACACTGATCATCGGAGATGTCAACTAATCAGCTGTCAAATGGCTTTTCGAAAGCCATTTGAATTGCCAAAAGGATTGTTTGACTGATGATTTCCTACAACTGTACTAATATAATATACATATTACTTATATCCTTTAAAGATACCCTAATCGATACTTATCCACAATGAATACAAAATAAGATGTTTACAGTTTTATCAAGATTATCCCTCAGTGTCCGGGCCCGTAGTTCGATATACTCGAGAAAAAGTATCAGCCTGTACATATAAAACGGCTGGGCAAAGGCCTCCTCTGTACAGGGGGTATCGGGGCATAGTCCACCACGCGGCCCCACTGCGGATTGGCGGACTTCACATGCTCGAGTATATTGAATGAAAAGCGAGCGCCCGGACACTGAGCAATCACGGCTCTATATGTACTATATATAGAGCCGTGATATACTCGAGAAGCCTGAGTTCAATCCCCGGTACCGGCACCAATGAAATTGTTAATTTTTGTTAACTGCTGACTTATCACGTGCTCCACAATGAAGGAAAACATCGTATGGGAACCTACATAATTTCGAAATGATAAAAAAAAATATTTCGAAGATATGTGAAGTCCACCGATTCGCAGTGAGGCAGGTGAAAACTTGCATCTAATATAACCTACGGGTTTTGGGTCGAAAACCTATATGGTAGTTCCCGTTGACCTAGAATAAGGAAATTTGACAAAAAACAAGAAAAACCTTACAGCAAAAATAAAGGAAAAATTCGGAAAAAAAGGTGAAAATTAAGACCAATTTTGGTACTTACAATTTACAATAATCCAAAGTTGCCCTTATCTTTTAATCGTGACTAGTAGGGATTATAGACCTCAGTCTCTGGTATAAATATCAACTTGCTAGGTCTACCCGTTCCTGAGAAAATCGGTGGTGATTATTTACTAATTTTATTATAGCGGTATAATGGGTAGATACGGAACCGTCGGCGTACGAGTTCGACTCGCACTTGACCGGTTTTATGTATATAAAAAAGCATTGTTTCTCACGGGACAACTTAATGCATAGTTTTACCGTGTGACAGGCCGAAATAGTTCGGATTATTATTAAAGACTATTACTTTCATCTTTCTTGGTTGATGTTTTCGTTTTCAGTTATAGCCTTTATAGACCATATGTAGAACTTCGGTGCGAGGCTCGAAAAATGGTAGTGTTCACAGTCTAGGATATTATTGGCATTAAGTACCACCAACTAAGCAAAACTGAATCTATATTAGAAATAAGAAGATGAAGAAAAGTTGTACAATTTTTCTGTTTCATAATGCACCGTGTTTTACAGCGGCAGCATTTTTATCGAAACGTAAAAATAAAATAAAGTAAAATTGTCCTTCTGTATATATTTTCGCGATTGTTTTCCTAAAAACAAATTTAAATTTTTATATGAGGCAGCAAAGGTAACTCATACAGCCTCGAACGTGATCAAATTATTTAATTTAAAAAAAAATCTTAAAGCTTCTTATTGAGACCTGATTACTTTGCCTGTGTGTCAGCAACACGCGTGTCTTGTGTACTTGTTATTTTTTAAAATATTTTGTTACTTTTTAAAAGTAAAATTCGAAAAAGTCGGATAATTATTCTACGCACATAAGATATAACAGATTTCGAATATACTTATTCAAGTATAATCGCATCCAAAAAGCTCTAATATTTATATTTAGGTTTGTTCACAGCTCAAACGAACTGTTCATTCTGAACCTGAGATAGCGCTTACAAAACAATA